CAAGTAGAATGATGAGGGCAACAAATGTACAAAAGTGCTTGACACGATAGATGGATTGTGATGAGTTGTACAAGTACCCAATAAAATGATTTATAAAGAATTTGTGTGAGATAGCCAAACATTAGGCATTTGGCTTAGAATTATATTTATTTTTGAAGTCATTAAATTCAGTCCTGCAGTTAATGGCATTCGTTACCTGTCAGTTCAACACCATTACTGTGTAGCTGCATAGGTATTGTGATGATTGGGTTTTGTGTCAACTTACTCCTGTGGGAAGCTTTGGGTGAAATCCAACATCTTCATCAGAATGCAGCCTAGTGACATCTCGGAGCTGTGTCCTACCTATAAGAGACTGAAGAACTGGTCTCTCTTGCCACTTAAAAAACTATTAAAAAAACCCAAAAATATATATAAATACATATCTTTGGAAAAAAATCCATTGTGTGTGGGGAGGTACTCCCTTATATGTTACAGTTTGGTCTATGTACAATGTAGACTGAATAAAAATGGTCTTTGAATGGATCCTTAAATTACTATATATTTTCCAGCTTTAAATTTGGAGGCAATTTTTTTTTCATATAAGCACAGCTTTATTCCAAACTGAACAAGTGTAAACATGTCCCTGCAATCAAAGATGTAGGTGGCTCAGACAAGTTCTTTCAGAAATTGTCAGTCTATTTATACTGATTACCATCGAGTGGATTCCAATTCATAGTGACCCTGTAAGCCAGTGTAGAACTGTCCTCGTGGCTTTCTGAGACTGTGATTCTTTTTTAATCGTTTTATTAGGGGTTCATAAGACTCATCACAATCCATACATACATCAATTGTGTAAAGCACATTTGTACATTCATTGCCCTCATCATTCTCAAAACATTTGCTCTCCACTAAAGCCCCCGGCATCAGGTCCTCATTTTCCCCCCTCCTTCATGAGCCCTTGATAATTTATAAATTATTTTGTCATATCTTGCCCTGTCTGACGTCTCCTTTCACCCACTTTTCTGTTGTCCGTCCCCCAGGGAGGAGGTCACATATAGACCCTTGTCATCGGTTCCCTTTCCAACCCATTCTCCCTCTACCCTCCCAGTATCGCCACTCACACCACTGGTCCTGTAGGGCTCATCCGCCCTGGATTCCCTGTGTTTCCAGTTCCTATCTGTACCAGTGTACATCCTCTGGTCTAGCCAGACTTGCAAGGAAGAATTCAGATCATGATAGTGGGGGCGGGGGGAGAGGTAGGAAGCATTTAGGAACTAGAGGAAATTTGTATTTTTCATCGTTGCTACGTCACACCCTGTCTGGCTCACTTCCTCCTGTAATTTGTTATTTCTACACAGTGAGGAAAGCAGATATAGGTTTTCGGTTTGTGTGACATGACACATGCCCATTCCTTAGTGTAATTTGTTGTGGAGAGAATAACCAGATTATCTAATATTACCTTTTGTAATTTAAAAACAATCTGCAAAATCTTTTTTAAAGACCATTATTAGCATCTCAAGACCCATTCAAAATTATGGAGATGACTTCTGGCAAGATGAGTTAGCCAGATCTGCTGGAGACTCTCTAAAATAAAGATGGCAAAGACCAAATAAAATGAATGATAATCCTGTACCTCTGAAGAAACACCAACTAGGCACTAGCTTAAAACGAATATGCAATGGGTGGTGGAAGAAGGCAGTTCTAAGTACCAGCTACAGGCAAAATGGTTATGTGGGGGGGCAAAAAAAAAGGTTATGTGTTGGGCTATAACTGCAAGGTCAGCCGTTCAAAACCAGAAGTTGCTCCCCAGGAGAAAGATGTGGGTTTTTTCACCCCTGTAAAGAGTCAGTCTCTGAAATTTTTAAGGGCAGATCTACCCTGTCTTATAAGGTAACTCTGAGTCACCATCAGCTTGATGACATTGAGAACTGTCCTCTAAGGTATGCATCAAACATCTTTATTAACGTATATATCAGATGTAAATACATAGTGCACTGTCAGTTGTACAGGAGTTAGTTTGTATCATGTTAGATGCAAGTATGACTACCGTTCTTTTTATTTAGATGTTGTTTATGGTTGAAGAAGATATGCAGACATGCCAAACTGATCAGGAATGGATTGTGGGTTAGCAGGGTTCTCCGTGATTTGTCAGTTAAAACCTAGTAATTACTTACTATGACTGACTTACTGCAATCACTTCCGTAGGGAATTTGGTTATGGAAGCAATCAATCAGTAAGAAGACCATCAGCTTAGGATGTAGCATCCGTATTAGTTATTCTTCTTGAAGTACATGAAAGCACTTTAAATGTTTCTCAAAGTTTGTCACTGGTGATGTTTGGGGGATTTTCATCTTTACTCCATCACTTATATTTCTGTACATCCTGCTTAACTGTATTACTTGTAAGAAGGAAAGTGCAAATTACTGTTAAGCCCCTCTTTCCTCCCTCCTGCCCCTCGGTCTCTATAAATTTGTCTTTACTTTCTTTTCTTCCTTCCGCCTCTTTCTTAACAACAACAAAAAAACAAAGTAATATTTTCCAGATGGAAACGACACATTAGTATCCGTGATATTAACTCTTATCCACTGGAATTTTATAAGTAAACGCCCACATTCCTTGCAATGGAGCAGCTGTAGATGTAAAGATGTTTACATCTACGTTTGCATGAACTTTTCTTTGCCAACCATCTGTGATTGTTTTGTGAAGTTGCCCTTATTGTTTCGTAATGTTCTCCTAACCCAGGAAGTCACAATGACGCCTGACATTTATTTCAAAATGATATGAACCTTCATGTCCAGGGTGAAGTGCCCATGACTCTGATGACAGTACCCAGCTGCCCATGACTTTTGTGAATTGTTTATTCACGTCATTGACAGGGCAGATCCAGAGCCTTTTTTGATTGACAGTACTTGATTCAGCTGCTACCCATTTGTATAAACCAGTTTGGGAAATCAGGACAATAGACTTAAAATTTTTTTTAGCAAAATGGTGGTGTATTGGTTATTCTGTAAATATACAGAGTGCTGATGGGTGTTGGCCCTCCCTGCTGACGGGAGAAGATAATGTGTAACTGGAAGTCTTATGAAGGCAAAGTATATGTAGAAAGCGATGGTTAAGACGTTTTCCTAAAATCATGACCCATTATATTTCTATGTGCATGCGCTGTTTAAAAAAAAAGGATTTCACAATAGTGAATGTTACTGGCTTTTCAACAGCTCTCCGCTGCACCTTTTGTTTGCTTCTTCACAAATGTTATACAGTAGTGCATGGAGGTAACATCCTTATGGAGATCACGATCCTGTAATCAATTGTAAGGAAGTTTCCTCAGGGGGTGTGGTTTGTTCCCAGTAAGCATAAGCACCATGGAAGAACTTGCTTGCTCTTTGCTGCCATCTGGATCACCAATCTCAAGTTCTCTGAACTTAATCCAGTGGCCTGCAATTTTGTTGAGCGTTTACAGCAACCTTTCATTTTACCGGACAACCTTGAATTCATTTGCACCTGTAACCACAAGTCTGATCTGCTGGCCTTGGATTCATGAACCTCTGCAGCCACAAACCTGTGGTCTTCCTATAAATCTTGGGGTCATCAGTACTTGCAACGAGTCAGTAGAAGCCTCAAGCCTAGCATCTAACCCAAAGACTTGAAACCTACCTGGACTTGGACTTTCAGAACTGTGGAAGCCATTTCCTTGAAATAAATTTCTCTATGAGCATATATCGACATCACTGGTTTTGCCTCTTTTGAGAACCCAAGACAGACTTCGTCAGTGGATAGAAAGCTCAACAAAACCAAGACCTGTGTGTGCACACGCGTGCACACACACACTCTCCCTAGAATTCAGTAAAGTACTATGGGAACAAAATACATGAAAAAGAAAGAAACCATACAAACTCATCAAGCAGAAATCTTGATGATTTAATCTTAAGATTTCACAAATAGATAATACATCGAAAAAGGGGTAATATTGAATCAACAGGTCACATTAGTGAGCTTTAAGACAAATCTCCCAATACTAATCGGCTTGTGGAGCAATGCTGGTAACACATCACGCTGTTAATCGCACAGTCAGCAGTTCAAAACCACCAGCTTGCTGTGGAGGAAAGGCAGGGCTTTCTACCCTCTTAAGAGTTAAAGACTCAGAAACTGACAGGGGCAATTCTACCGTCTTGTAGGGTTGCTATGGACTTCATGAAATGAATTTGGTTTGAGTGGAAAAAAAACCCCAATCCCCTCCAAAAAAAACATTAAGAAACTCTGTGGGATAGCAGTAAGAATAACTTACATGTGATCAGATTTCCAGAACAAATAACAAAAAGCACATAGAAAATTTTTGCAGAGCTGTTGGAAGAAAACTTTTCTAAGCAAACCTCAAACAGAATAGACTCAAGATAAAATCACCATGGCATATAATCAATACTCGAAATCCAAATGTAGGACCAGGGTAGTGGGAGCATCCCGAGAGTGGCTTGGGAAAAACAAAAAAAAAATGTACAAAGAGGAACCAATAAGATTTTTCAACAGAAGTCATTCAAGCAAGAAAGCAATAGAATGATTATATAAAACGCTCAAAAAAAGAAAACATTAAGAATCATATACCTAGTAAAACTGCCCTACAAATATGATAGTGAAATTAGGACATTTCTATGTAAACATAAATGAAAGCAACTTATAAAAACCAGAATGAAATTACAAGATATCCTAAGGCAGTGGTTCTCAACCTGTGGGTCGCAACCCCTTTGGGCGTCGAATGACCCTTTCACGGGCACCCGATTTATAGCAGTAGCAAAAGCAGTGATGAAGTAGCAACGAAAATAATGTTATGCTTGGGGGTCACCACCACGTGAGGAACTGTGAAAGGGTCGCGGCGTGAGGAAGGTTGAGAACCCCTGTGCTAGGGGAGTTCTTCAGAGACCTAACCGCAGTAGTCATAACCCGACAGTAACACAGAGGACACCACCACCAGAAGGCCGCCCAGACTTAGAATTATCCAAAGCAACACAAACCTCCAAGACTGAAAATAGGGAACCAGGGATGTCAATCTTTAATTTTTAAATTACAAAGTAAATAGAGGGAATAATGTCGTTACAGAACTTTCAAATGTAGAAGTCAAGTAGGTTTAGAACAGATGGTTTTAAGATTACAAAGAATTTAATCAATTACAGTATACTTTCAAAGGAAATTAGTAACCCCATCAAAATAAAGAGGAAAATCATAAAGATTTAGTAAACAAAGAAACAACAAGCAATGAAGAATATGACTAAATAAAGTTAGAAATCAATACTAGAACACCAAGGGGGAAAACATCATGGAAATTGAGTTAACACTTTGTTTTAAAAGTGCTGAGTAATGGGACAAATGAACATATTCAGTCCCATGAAGGGGACTTCCTCATGCCTTCACTTTGTAAAGGTAATGTATAAACTCATTAGCAACAAAGACAACCTAAATAGCTGAGTCAAAAAAAAATATTAGTACACAGGAATGAGAAATACTTAGGGAATGCATTTCAATGAAAAGCTTTTAAGTATCTTCATTTAATATAGAAAACAGGCAGCCAAGAAATACCACAGCTGACAATAAGCGAGGAATTGGATTCTTCCCTAGAACTTCTGAAGAAACCATCCCTCCCTAACACCTTGACTTTAAACCAGTCAGGCTGATTTCAGAAGTATAATACAGAGTTGTATTTGTTTTAAGCCATTAAATTTGTTACAGCAGTCACAGAAAATGCAGAATCTGAGTTAAAAAGCAAAACAAACACATTTCAGACAAAATCGTTTTAAGTACTTATTGTACAAAACTTACATTTGTTATAGATAATGAGAAGTATGGCAAAATGGCCTTTTGTTTATAATTTCTTCTTTGGAATTATCTATGAAAGATACTTATTTCTTCAGATATTTTCAGATAGTACATTTTGTCTAGAATGTTTACCAGTTGTATTGGTGATGAATTATATAGACACATGGGGTGTAAAACTGGAACCAGATTAGAAAAGTGCAGGAGGAAGACCACTGCCAAACAGTAACCTCCAGGAACTTGGTATTTTCCATGGCAAGACAGAAGCTGTGGGCTTATCAATCTGTAATTAAAAAAATAAAATCTCCTTTCAACACATATACTATAACTCTCTTCTCTAGTTCTTTTGTTCCTGGCACTTTTGCCCAGGTTTTATTGGTAAGAAAAAACAAAGTAATCAATTTCTATGTTTTCATATCAAGTGAACATAAAATTTCCCATTCCAAAACCACAATTCTATGTTAGAGAGGCTGCACATGGAGTCTATTACTTAAAATAAAATTCAAAAGGAAAAGTGGTTAATAAATATTGACTCAGTTGTGCGGTTTATGTCATACAATTTGTGCTACAGGAGCACAAATTAAAAAATCAGTTACCTATCACACACCTTATGGTCATTCTGTTATGCTGGAAGGCTATCAGATTTATCATGTGTAATGCTATTATAATGGAGGAGTATAACTCTAACAAAGCATATAAAGCTATAAATAGCTACAAAAGTAATATGTTATGCTTCCATTAAAAAAAAGTGAACTCCAAAGAGGATTTGCTTATAAGAATTGTTTAATTAATAGAGCAAGAATGAACAACTTCAGATTTCCCTTTTAAGATTAGTGTTGTAATTACTTAAAAAGAAAATTTTTAATCCATCATTTTATTGGGAGCTCTTACAGATATAACATTCCATAATTCAAATAGTTCAGGCACAATTGTACAATGGTGACTACAAATAGTTTAAAAACATTTTCTTTCTTCTTGAACTCTTTGATGTCAGCTCCCCTTTCCCCTTCCCCCCAGAAACCCTTGTTATATATTTTTAATATTCGATTCTCTATATATATTTTTTCACCTACAATTTTGTTATTCACTCCTCTCGAGGAGTCATACAGTCATCATTGCTATCAGCCCCCCTCCCCCTGTATTCCCATATCCTCAGGAAATCATGCTCCACTTGCTGTTTCTGTAAGGTCACCCACCCTGGCATTCCTACATGAACAATCTTACTTACACATCTGTACTTACAGAAGGCTAACAGTAGTAATGAGGTGAAACATAAACCTGAATAGGACGGGGAGGAAATACTAAAGAACCAGAGGACAGTTAAGAGTTTCAGCAGCGGCTGGTCCGATGTGCACACATGGGGGCAGACCAAGAACAGGTGCAACAGACCACTGAAGGAAGTGAAGCCTCCAAGTCCCCGGGAAATCCCCATGTAGACATCTGACTCCAGGGGAAGCACTTTGCACCTCACCTGAACTGGATGGGGCTACTCACAAAGGGGGCCACACTGAAAGTCTAAAGGTGTAATGGAGTGGGGGCACTAGACCACTCCATCCCTAACTGCAAGAAGAGCAATAGGGACCTGCAGGGTGTGCGCAGATACAAGGCCGAGGTCTAAAAGGGTGTAAGTGCTGTTAGGGAAACAGGTCCGGGGATATGGATCACTGAAAGAAAAGGGTATTGTGATGAGGGATTGTAACAGGTCCTGCCCACTATTTAGCAGAGAGATATTCATCTACTCTGGGTCAGGACATTAGTTAGACTTGGAACTATTTATATGGTCTTCCTCTTTTTTTCAGTGTCTATCTATATAATATAAGCAGGACAAGCAACCTTTTGGAGACAGCAAAGGAAGCAATGGTTGGGGGGCAGGGGGAGGGGGGGATGTGGGATGGGGGTGGGGGGAGTGGTAAGCCAATAATGACAAGGACAGGGGAATAGCAAGGGTTATAACATTTGATAGTGAGGAGGGTATAACGTTCCTGGTCAGGTTAAGTCAGTCAAAAAGTGCCTGAGAGGAATTACTGAGAGGTGAACCGGGGTAAGCATAATAGTTGGGCAAGAGGAGAAAAAGCGGAAAGAAAGCAAACATATACACATGTGAATATATAACTACATAAATATGGGTATATTTGTCTACACAGCTACATATCTGTAAATTCAACAAGGAAGCAGATGGACTTTGGGTCTCTACTAAAATCTCACCTAAGTATAAGAACGGTTTGTTCTAATAAAGTGGCACTGTGTGACACTCACTTTCCCGACATGATTGCTTAAGACAAAAGGGGTACATAAACAAATGTGGTGAAGAAAGCTGGTACTTCCTCACTATTAAAATAGATAGCATCTGGGGTCTTAAAGGCTTACAGTCAAACAAGTGGCCAATGGGCAGGGAGGCAACAAAGCTCACATGGAAAAAGCACACCAGCCTGTGTGATCATGAGATGTCGATGGGAACAGTTGTCAGAAGTAAAAAAAAACAAGCAATCAAATGGCTATGAATGAACAAGGACAAAGTGGAGACCCAAGACCCACCTGCAAGACAACTGAACAGGCCCGCAGAGGGGCCGTGTGGGGGGATGAGGAATTCAAGCTGTGGTATAGACAGATTTTCTGTTTTCAGAAGCACTACCAGCTTTAATAAAACAAAAGGTAGACTAAATTATCCTCTTTTCAAAAATTCAACCCAAAATGTATGTAAAAGTATGTCTGTACTTAATATCAACTTCACTTTTTTGGTCTACGTAAATAAGATTTTAAAAGTTAATAAATGTGTTGTCAAATCAGAGCATTAAGCAGTAGGAAAACAATAGCAAAAATTTTAAAAAGAAAAAACTTACACATGGTTTGATGATCTGAAGCCATTCGTTAAGATACTGAACAAGATCTAATGCATCTGGGATATTGTCTCCTTCAGAAACAAATTTCAGAAGAATTGCCATTGGAGTTTCTCTGGAACAGCTACAACAAATAAAGTAATTCAGTGTTCAGTCACTGTTAAGATGCTAATTTAAGTTTGGACTTGTATGCTTTAAACAAAGAGAAGATGGTATCACTTCTTTCTTTCCCTTTGCCAAAGGATTACTATTTTATCTGTGGGAACAGGGCACGTAGTTCTCTGGTGTCCCCTGTACCTCACAGGGAGGCTGCCATCAGGAGGAGCTGGTTGTGGCATATTACGTAGGTCCTGACCCATGTCCACAAATGGTGTAGACTTAGAAGATAGTGATTTCTTGCTTGCCCTCATGAAGAGATCACTGATGGTGCTTGGCTATCAGAAAGATTAGTACAGGGTCTTTGAGGCTTGTCTTCAATCAGCCTTTTAAGTGAGGTACTAAATCCACATGGAAGAAGCACACCAACCTATGTGATCTAAGGGTGATAAATCATAAAATCCGAATCTGATTACAGCTTAAATTGTGAATACCCAATTTTTAGAAGGCAATGGCTTACAGTGGGAACCCAAAATTCCTGCATGGATTAAACTCTGATCAATTCCCTCTGACCATAGTTGAAAAATGAGAATAGCCTTGCTATCCAACAGAGAATATCATAAATGTTATCATGGCTGATATAATCAGGTTAAAATGTGATACCTGATCATTTGATCTCCCTTTTGAATCACTAAAAATGTTCTAGTTTTTAATAGTCCCTGTTTTCTCCTTGTCCTTCCCCGCACCCCCCAGTTTATTATTGTCGGTCCCCTGCCCCCCAAGTATATGAAAACCATGATGAGTGAAGCTAGATAGACAGTAACAGGATTAGGGGCTTATTGTGACATACAAGGATGGGGTGGGAGAGTGTTGGAGAAAAATGAGGAAGTAATAACAAATACAAGAGGGAAGAAGATATTCTGGAACTGATTTAGAGATGATTGTATAATTCTTAATATGCCGGAACTATGGAATTGTATGTGAACTAAATTGTCAACAAAAATGTATTAAAAGGTTTTTTTGAGCACCACACCAAATTGACGGAAAGAGGGTAACAGTCTTATTAACGAGAAAGCAGTGTAGGAACTTTCAGAGGAGGAAATAAACAACTGCATTTGAGTAATATGAGTCAAAATAACTTGATAGCAGTGAATTAGATTTTTTAAGCTCTGACAAATATCACTTACTCAATGATTATTAAGTGCTAAGCATTGTCCACATATCTTGATTCAATTTTTACAATTTGTTTTAAACTCTTTCTTGCGGTTTACAAGTTTACAGAGAAAATCACTCTCCACAACAATTTTATTTTGTGACAATGAAGATGACAATCCCCGCTTCTCGGAGGTTCCCGTTTCCAGTCTTTACTGCTTTCTGAGCTCTGTGTTTGGGCAAAGACTGATCTTTTGGTCTGGTAGGCTGACTGTTCTGGAGCATGTTCTTCCTGGGTGTTGTTTTTCATTTTGTAGGCTTGTCTATCATTTGACTTAAAGTTGAATCCCTGGGGGTGGCTCATCTACATGCTTGAAAAATGTCTGTCTATGGGCCACAGTCTCAAAGGCAGTGCCAGTTTTTATCAGACCAGTAAGCCAAGACTTTTAAAATGATTTTAAATGTTGACATACTTTTGCCCCTTATTATTCTGTTCCAGACTTTCTATTGGGATCATAGCAGAGGAGTCAGTCAATAGCCAAATACTTTCTTCTGGTCTCAAGGGAGTGAAGGTTATGGTTTGTGTGGTTCATTCGTTCCTTGGAAAAAACTGCTTTGAATATTTTCTTTGCTTCACGTGGAGACAGATCACTAGTATCATCTTAGTCCCTCACAAGCTTAAAAGGCCTGAGTGACAGGGACAGAAGAGGGAACAATGGACTCTGAGAAAACAGGCCTGGTAAACATCTTGGCCTTGAGACAAGGCTGGATACGCATCCTGGCATGGAGCTGTAGCCTGAGATAAATTGGAAAGAGAGTATGCAGGAAACCAAAGGGCAGACTGGATGAACTAATTAGAAAGTTGTTTAATCATCTGCCAAATTGTGATTTCCATCCCCTTGACTGTACTCTTCAAAAAAGAAATGTCCTCTGCGGAGGCCACAGTGCACACGTCACTCCTCTTGGACCTCTCTTGCTTCCTCCGCAGCCATGTCTGACAAACCCAGTATGGCTGAGATTGAGAAATTCGATAAGCTGGAATCGAAGACAGGAACGCAAGAGAAAAATCCACTGCCTTCAAAAGCAACGACTGAACAGGAGAAGCAAGCAGGTGAATCATACTGAGGTGCCGCTGCCAATATGCACTGTACATTCCACAAGCACTGCCTTATTATTTTCCTTCTTTTAGCTGTTGAACTTTGCTAGGTTGGATCAACTTTAAATGACTGTGCTGTTCTTTTCACATCAAAGAACCACTGACAACGAAGGTGGCATGCCTGCCACTCCTACGGGCCCGTCTGGCCAGCAGGGAAGGAAAAGAACTTTCATGTTGGGGAAGGAAGGAGCTGGGTGGGTGTGTTGGTCTGGGTACTTTAGAGAAACAAATCCACAGAAACTCATGTGTAAGAGAGGGTTTTATATAAAGGTTAAGTGCGCATCAAGAAAACATCCCAACCCAGTGCTGCCCAAGCCCACAAGTCCAACATCAACCCATTAACCCATATGTCCAACACCAATCCACAAAGTCCTCCTCCATTTCACAAAACAGACGCAATGATGCCGACTGCAGGAGGAAAGCCGAGTCAGTGAATGTGTAAACATCTAAGCGGTCTCCACATGGCTGCACCAGCACCCAGGGCAGCATGGGGTAGGTCTATGCAGCTTCTCCTCAGGGATGTCTTGCAGGAAGTGAGCCTTGGGAACTAAAGCAGGAAACTGGCTAAGGCAGCTGCACCCTGATCTGACCATCAGAAAGCAACAGACCAGAGAAGTAGAAATGCGAGGCTCACTGAGCCATTTATCCCTCTGCCCTTCAATTAACCCCACGTGTTTATCGGCCAGATTGGCACAATAAACTAACTACCTCAGTAGGGCAACAGTGAGTAAATACACAGACTAAAAGCAAAGCTGGTTCAAGGTGTCCTGAAGGAGTAAAATGTAGTTTAATTGGAGTGCCTTTTTTTTTTTTTGCTCAAATGATTTTAATTATTGGAATGCACAATTTTTTAAAAGGGCAAATAAAAATTTTAAAACTTGAAAATAAAACAAGAAATGTTCCTTCCTTCTCACCTACTTCACTGCTTAAAGTGTATCTAATTTGTGCTTTTGCTTAGCTCTTTTGCAGTGTGTGAAGCTCTAACAAGCTGGTCAGGTGGAACTTGTGAGTACGAGCGAAGATGATAAACCTGGTGCTGGCAACAGGCCTTTGAATTCCTCAGCAGGGCAAAATGTCACACTGGTGACAATACAGTATCTGGGTGTCATCTTTGCAGACGATTTTAAGTCAACTTACCAGTGGTGGGATTCAAAGAACAACTGACTGGCTGCTCTAATGGCCATTTTATGTGTATTTTTAAAATGGTACACTGAAAGGTAGTTTATTATTTCAGAGTTAATATTGAAAACAAAACCAGTAGAGGCATGTGCTCTACATGTGCCTGATGGTATAGTGGGCACACAGGTGAGCAGTTTGAAACCACTAGCTGCTCTGAGCAAGATAGGGCTCTCTACTCCCGTAAAGAGTCACAGCTGTGGACACTCACAGGGGCAGTCGCCATCAGTCAGCATGGAATTAATGGCAGTGATTTAATACTCCATCAAGGACGTATTTGCAACACATACAAATATAAAATTTAAACGTCTCCCATACTTGAATATACTCAGCTTCTATGTCTACCTTTGCATCTGTTCATAGATTAGCTGTCTTTTACTCCTATGAGGCTCTTGGTATCTCCCTTCGCCTCTCCCTTCATACAATTATATATTCTACTCTCTAGTTAGTGATCCCTCTCTGGCAATTATCAGACTACTCGTTTCCATGCGCAAAAATTTCTTGACTTTTACTAATAATGTTCTCGAAAATATTCTTTTGTGATTGACTTCTTTCACTCACTGTAAGTCACTTACCACAAACATCAGGCAAGTTATTTTGTCAAGATGCTAATGTTTCCTAGAAGCACTGGATTTACTAACTGCAAGGTCAGCAGTTTAAGCCCATCAGCCCCTCCTCAGGAGAGAGATGGGGTGTCTGTTCTTGGTAAGTATTTACCCCCTGTGAAACTCTACATTGGGTCGCTCTAAGAGGGAACTGAGATGGTGGGAGTGGTGTTTGTTTGTTTGTTTGTTTGTTTTTTAATCAATTTATTGGGGCTCATACAATTCGTCACAATACATAGATCAATTGTGTAAAGCACATCTATACATTTGTTGCCCTCATCATTCCCAAAATTTTCTTGCCTCTTGGGTTCCCGGAATCCGCTCATTTTCCTTTTTTTTTTAATGTTTGTTTTTTGAGGGGGGTGCTATCTGTAAAAAGGAATAAGAGCCACTCATTGGCTGTTCTGAGATTTAAGTGAGATAATGGAGGTAAAATACTTATTAATCCAGAGAAAATACTGTGTAACTTATTAAAGGAATTGAAAATATAAGTCAATGCATTTAAAATTCCAGACGTAGCATATAAGATTGCTCTTCTGACTTCTAAACAATCTTGTAGAAAACTTCAGGGCAAGGTAGCCAACTCAATACATACATAACTAGATTCCTAGATAATAACCAAGAGAGAGTGCACCAGGTGAATGGCCAGTGATCTCAGAGAATGGCTTCAAAGCCAAGTAAATAACAATCTCTATATCCCAGAGGCAGAGGAGTGAACAGAGAAAAGGACAGGCCTTTCTCCTGACCTGCTCCTGGTCAAAGACACTGCCAAAAAGCAGGACTCGGTATGGATGGGCAAGCTGCCAACAATCAGATCCCAGTATGGTTCGGTGATGCATGCACGGTGCCATGACCTTCTCACTGTAGCTAGTCTGTTGTTTGATTTTAAATCATTTTATTGGGGGTTCGTACAGCTCACATCACAATCCATACATACTTCCTTTGTGTCAAGAACATTTGTACATACGTTGCCGTCATCACTTCCAAAACTTTTTCTACTTGACACCCCCCACCCCTGCTTTAAATCATTTTATTGGGGTTAGTACAACTCTTAACACAATCCACACACACATCTATTGTGTCAAACATATTTGTTGCCATCATCATTCTCAAAACATTTTCTTTCTACTTGAGCCCTTGATATTAGCTCATTTTCCCTTTCCTCTACCCTCCCTCCCTCATAAACCCTTGATAATTTATAATCCCCCCCCCCTTACATCAACCTGTCTCCCTCCACCCACTTTCTGTTGTCCGCCCCCCCTGGGAAGGGGTTATATGGAGATCATTGTGATTGGTTCCCCCTTTCTCCCACTCTTATTATTGGTCCTGAAGGGTTTATCTGTTCAGAATTCCCTGTCAGCTCTTACCTCTACCAGTGTACATGCTCTAGTCTCACTGAATTTGTAAGGTAGAATTGAGGTCATGATAGTGGGGGTGGGGGTGGGTGGGAGGAGAGGAAGCATTAAAGAACTAGAGGACAGTTGTTTCATCAGTGCTACACTGTGCCCTGACTGGCTCGTCTCTTCCTTGTGAACCTTCCGTTAGGGGATGTCCAATTGTCTACAGATGGGCTTTAGGTTTCCATTCACGCTCCCCCTCATTCATGTCATTATGATTTTTGTTGTCTTAGATGCCCGATACCTGATCCCATCAACATCTCATGATCACATAGGCAGATGTGCTTCTTCCATGTGGGCTTTGTTGCTTCCCTGCTAGATGGCCGCTTCTTTACCTTTAAGCCCCCAGACGCTGTATCTTTTGACAGCTGGGCTCCATCAACTTTCTTCACCACATTTGCTTATGCACACATTTGTCTTCAGCGATCATATCAGGGAGGTGAGCACACAATAATTTGATTTTTTGTTCTTTGATGCCTGATAACTGATCCCTTCAGCACCTTGTGATCATGTAGGCTGGTGTGCTTCTTCCATGTGGGCTTTGTTGCTTCTGAGCTAGATGTCCACTTGTTTACCCTCAAGTCTTTAAGACCCTATACACTATATATTTTGATATCCAGGCGCCATCAGCTTTCTTCACCACATTTGCTTATGTACCCGCTTTGTCTTCAGCGATCATGTCGGGGAGGTGAGCATCATGGAATGCCAGTTTAATAGAACAAAGTATTCTTGCATTGAGGGAGTAATTGAGTGGAGGCCCAATGTCCATCTGCTACCTTAATACTAAACCTATAAATATATGCACATAGATCTCCCAACATATTTTTAATGCTGATTTTGTGGTAAAATTAGGTGCCTCAGCTGATATTCAGGTTGGCTTATACTTGAGTATATATGGTATGCACTACTGGAATTTCAAAATAGGTACACACAAAAAAACCCCAAGGTAAATAGTACAAGCAATCCTGGAAGAAAACTTCCCTAAGAGCATAATAAGGGAAAAAATAATTATCCAGGAAAACTGAGAGAACGCCCAACATGATAGACTCCAAAAGAAAACATCAAGACAAGTGGTCAAACTTCCCAATATTACGGGCAAGGAGAGAGAATTCTGTGAGCAGTTAAGGCAAAAAAGAACAGTTCAGATACAAATTAAAACCACTTGTTATTAGATTGGTAATATGGCTAGTCCCACAGGTTGACTGATGCGAGATGTAATCCTGTATTTTAAAATGTTGTCATTATAAACTGTGATCAAGTCAGTTTCAAATCATGACAGCTCCATGAAAAACAGGACAAAGTGTTGCCTGGTCTACATCGTCATAATAGTGATTAGTATGTCTGAGTCCATTGATGTGCCATTCACCAAGGGCAGCGGTTCTCAACCAGTGGGTTACGACCCCGTAGGAGGTTGAATAACCCTTTCGCAGGTGTCGCTTAAAACCATCAGAAAACACATTATTTCCAATGGTCTTAGAAACTGAGACACTGCTCATCTATTCTTCTCTATTCTTATACAGATACACCCACATATGAGAACCCGAAATTTCATTTATTTGTAATTAGAAATAAATATATATATATGTATTATATATATATATCCCACTAAGAGTAAGCTTAGAATTTTCAGCAGAAACCTACTTCGGTGCCAGCTGAGACCTTAACCCTGCCCATATAGCCATGTTAGTCCACTCCTGATGGCTGCTAGGTGCTTCCCACAGGCCAAACTGATTTGCTGTGGTTTGGCTTGGTAAGGAAGGGGAAAGATGGAGAGCAAGACACAGTGCTCGCAGTTTAAAGTGTATGATTCAGAAAAGGAAACAGGAAGTAGAAGACAGGACATGTGATAAGGGAATAGAGGTT